AAAAAAAAATACAGTGCCTGCTGTATAACAAATATGACAAAAGCATTAACGGAGTTCTTGCTATGTACCAGGCACTGACTAGGCATTAATGCAATTTCTGCTACCAATTATATGCCGGGCATGGACCAGGCATTAGTGAAGCACCTGCTGTGTACCATACAGGACATAAGCATTAACAGAGTGCCTACTGTAAACCAGGTACGCACCAGACATCAATCCAGTGCCTGCTATATTCCAGGGTAGGAACAAGCATTAATGGAGGGACTGATGTATACCAGGCACTACTGTCAGCCCTTTGAAAAACTCTAACTTGCTAATACCTTTATACTTATTTTGCAGGTAGAAATAGAAGCAGCCACCAGGATTTGTAAAAACGTAAGTGTGTTCCTATCACAGTGTGGACCCTGCCCCAAACCTTTTGCCTCTCTGGGTTCCTTGTCTCACCTCTGCACATTCTTTCCATCGTGGTTCCAATGTCACCTCCTTGGAGAGACCTTTCCTGACTCCTCAGACCAAATCAGGTATCTCCTCTTGAGGCACAACTTGAAATTATGCATTCTTCCAGACATCTGTCTGTGGACTCCATTTCCCCAGTTAACCATAATCTCCATGAGGGCAGGAACTGGGCCTGCCTGGCTCACCTAGAACCAGGAAGGGCAAACCACTACCTGAGTTAAATCTGGCCCACTTGTGTCTTCTGTACATATGGTCCATGAACTCAAAATGCTTTTTACATTTTTAAAATGAGGTTTTTTTTAATCCAAAGAAAGTACTAATTTGGGATATGTGAAAATTATATGAAATTCAAATTTTAGTGTCCATTAATTAGGTTTTGTGGGAATATAGCCACACTGTTTGTATATTAAGCACATTTGCTCTCATGCAGCAAGGGTAGAGCTCAGTAGTTGCAACAAACCCTAAAATATTTTCCATTTGGCCCCTTTCAGAAAGAAAGCTAGAATGAGGCCCAAACACCCGGGAGAGGCTCAACTGGTGTCTTTTGAATGATGGGGAAAAAAGAATAGAAGAGCCTGGAGTGGTCTTGGGGCTGGAAACCCATTTTACAGAGGAGAAAACTAAGGTGTCCTTGTACACAACTCCCTTGACTACGCAGCCCTCCCGGCCCCAACATGGCCTGACTCTCCTCTCCCCACCAGGCCCTACCCAGATTCCACACTCCAAGTGCCCTTCACCCTCTTCAGAGCTGCACCCTGATGTGCTGTTCTCCCCTGTCTGTGATAAGAGGGTGAAGGTAGGTCAAAGTCTCCATTTATGAGTTGATTGGTGTGTGGGAAGATTAGTTCCTTGAAACTCTCATCTTCAGGGCTTCCATCCCTCCCTGAGCCAGACGTGTAGCCAGGGTAGGGGGAGCTCCTGGGGTTCCTGCCACAAATAGATCAAAGCTCCTCTCACACGAGAAACCTATAAACTATGACCAGAAACCTTGTCCCCTGGGCCCTGGCTCAAAATGCTTCCTCCTCCAATGGGTCTTCCCAAACCATCCATAAGTAACAGCACCCCTACCCCAGCCCTCTCTGCTGCCAACTTTCCTTCCCAGCCCTTCTCTTGGTCTGGAATGATCTACTTTATCTATTTCTCCATTCATTCATTACCTGATAAGTTCCTGCCCTCATGGGGATCATGGTTAACTGGGGAAATGATATAGGGTATCTTTGTCTTGATCACTACTGTATCTAGAACTCACCCTGGCATCCAGTAGGTGTTCAATAAACACTGAAGAGCCAAATGCATGCAGGAATTACAGTTACTGTAATAAATTACAGTTATTTTTTGTTTCACATCTTTTTTTTTTTTTTGCAGTTTTTGGCCAGGGCTGGGTTTGAACCTGCCACCTCCAGTATATGGAGCCGGCGCCCTACTCCTTTGAGCCACAGGTGCCACCCTTGTTTCACATCTTTAATGACCTCCTCTCCTGCCCCTGCTGCTGCTTAACACAGAGGTGTGATGACCTATTTGTTACCTTCTTCACTATCTGTTACCCATCAGACTAGGAGTTCTAGGAGGACAGTGACAGTGGGTGTCAGGATTACCATTGGGCCATCCCCAAGTCCAGCACCAGTCCTTGGGCTCCCTGTACCACCTCTACACCTCCTGGGCACCCTCATTCACTCCTGAGGCTCCAAACCCATCTACACCCCATGACACCCACAGTATCCAGCTTCAGCCTCCCCCAGGCTTCAGATCCAGGCCCAGCTGCCCCTAGGTCTCTTCATGCAGGTCTACAGGGTCTCCACTTAACACAACAAAAAATCACACCCCCAAAAGGTCCCATCTCAGAGCCTTTGCACTTACTGTGCCCTTGGCCAACAATACTCCCCCCCAAGCCCACCTCACCCCTACTTTCCAAGCAACCTTCTCCATGCTTCATCCTTTCTGTCCCTCCAAACTAAAAGACTTTCCAGTGGTCATAATGCCCTTTCTCCTTCAGAGACTTTGTCACAATTTGAAATGGGTTTGCTTCATTTATCAATGGTTATTTATGAGCTAGGCACTAGATTGGATATTTAGGACCAGCATCCTTTTTTTTTTTTTTGAGACAAAGTCTCACTCTGTTGCCCTGGCTAGAATGCCCTGGCATCAGCCCAACTCACAGCAACCTCAAACCTCTGAGTTCAAGCTATCCTCTTGCCTCAGCCTCCTGCGTAGCTGGAACAATAGGTGCCTGCCACCATGCTCAGCTATTTTTTTCTATTTTTTAGTAGAAATGGTGTCTCACTCTCAAGCTGCTTTCCAATTTCTGAGATCAAG